GAAATTGGTAGTAGGAGAAAATCTCAAAAATAGATTAAACAAGACTTTGGCTGACGTGCTTCCTGCAGGGAAAAACAGGCAGTTGTTAAGATCTAGTGTAAAATACAAAATCGCTAGTATTTCTTTTACTCACGGGTGTCAGTTGCGTGTGTTTGAACATGTGTGCGCACGCTGATTTAGTTTCAGTTCATCACATCAGACACATTTAGAGAGCAGCAGTCCACCGGGACCGCGCTCCAGCTGATTTGCTCAGCGCTGCCACAGGCTGCGTGCCTTTCCTCCAGCCACACCGCTGCAAAAAGCCCCTAATTCTTTGTAACTTCTTGGACCTTTTGCAGGCTCCGAACTGCCAAGATGCTTCTGCTTCTTTCTGTGGTCACTGGGCTTGCCCTGTCTGCCCCAGGCGTCGTGACAGACAAAGAGACTGACCCAAGCCAAGAGTCATTTCACGACATACAGAAAAAAGTGAACGACCTCTGGCAGAATTTGCTCTATCCGGTAGTGCCTGGTAATGAGACGGATGGGATGATTTACGCCACTTGTGAAATGAAGCCCAGCTCCAAAACAGATGCTGACAAGCCACAAGTGACTGGACAAGTCTTATTCAGACAGTATTACTCATACGGAAGATTAGAAGCCATTTTTTACTTGGATGGGTTTCCGTTGGATAACAATCAATCTGGTAGAGCTATACACATCCATGAGCTTGGGGATCTCAGCAACGGCTGCGATTCTACAGGAGGACACTATAACCCTTTCCACGTCAATCACCCCCGTCACCCCGGGGATTTTGGCAACTTTTTCCCTAAAGAAGGCAAAATCAGAAAATACAAAACAAATCTCTTCGCCACTATGTTTGGTCCATATTCCATCGTGGGCAGATCTGTTGTGATCCATGAGCAGGAAGACGACATGGGCAAGGGCAACAATAAGGCCAGTCTGGAAAATGGAAACGCTGGGAAACGTCTGGCTTGCTGCGTGGTTGGGATATGCAACAAGAACCTGTGGGAAGAGAAACTGTCTGAGGTTACAGACAAGAAGAAAAGAGGGCTCAAACAGCGAACATAGAGCCAGGCTTGAGTGAAGACCAACAAGCCAGCTATGGCCTGGGCAGCACAAGTACCTCCGGCTATGCCACTGGCCACTAAGATGCATGGCTAAAGAATTCCTATTTCCATTTGCTTGCTCCTCTAAGAAATGTGTATCACTTTGTAGAGCCTCCTTTCTCTAAGCCCATCAATAAACCAGCATCAACTCAACATGGTGACGTATTTTCTTGAAGGTAAAAGATTCCCTGTTATGCAGTCTGGGAGTTGGATGCATGTAAGAGTGCTAAGGGATACGGCTGATGGTCTGTAAAGAGTCTGTGTTCCGTAACAGGCTCTTAAGGCATCATAAGTTAGATACCAAAGGAAAATAAGTTAATATAAATAAGTGAGAACTTGCCTCTCGTTAGACTCTATCCTGTGTTTAGCTGCAAATCTGAAAGATAAGAAGACCTCTGTGTTTTCAACAGTGTTGCAAGACCTGGATAATGGACTTCCCCTAAAAATAAGGGAAAGTACAGACATTTCTGGTTTAAACCTTAGTTCCATTACGTTATTCTACTTGTATTTTCAGGTTTTATTCTCAAACATGTGTAAGCTTCTTAACTATTTTAAACTGTCCACATGGCTATAGCTAAGTCACATGGTTTACATCTGAAAGCAGGCGTAAAAGAAATATTCCAGTTCACCATCACTCCCCAGAAAAAAAATCCCTAAAGCCTCTAGTTTATGCCTGTTAGTAACTAGATTGTATACGAAAGTTTTAATGCTGCTTTGACAATGACAGTTAGCAGATTAGCCGACTATTTGCAAGACAGCACATGAGAGAAAAATATTCTTTTCAAAGCCAAGAAATACTGCGTGTGTTTCTTCACACAGACGCGCAGGACGTGGCTCACTCAATTTAGACTGGGAGAGGTAACAGTGAAAAGATTTAAGTCAGACAATTTTCAAAATGAAACTCACTCAATAAAGCGTTACTCTTTAAATTTAACATAACTCACTGAAAATACTACACCGCTACCTCATGACTATCATTCATCTGATACCGAGAAGAGAAAAGGAAACAAGCAGGTAGAACAAACATATCAGGACATGTTTTTATTTAAGATGACAAAATGTATTAATAGAGTTGAACCATGTTGCGCAGTTAATCCAGGAAGCAACAACAGAGAAGTTTGCAAATAAATAAAACTGCATAATTCAGAAGGTAAAACTACAAAACAGAAGCTGGTAATCGAAATCCTATCTTTTAGACATGTAGCAGACTTTCAACTTAATCTCAGTTAAGATTTTGAAATACATTCCTGAGCTCATACAGATTAAAGAAATTCCACTGTCTTTATTATACAAATTCCCATATGCTTAAAAATAGTCTGACTTAAAAAAGAAGCAGCATTCTAAAAGATGCTTCTTAACCTGTCATTTTCACACACATATTTTACAAATTCAGTGAGTGCTGTTTTTCAAATAACCACAACATCGTACTTCCAAAATTAAAGCCTTCTCACAGATAATGCACAAATTCACTTTTAGGTGAGACAACCTCCTTAAAATCAGTTTGTGAAATGCATCTTCCATACCCCTGCCACAACATTCCCTTCCCAGTTTGCTTCCCCAGAGCCCAATGCCTAAATGTTTGTATGTCTGGATGAAATTTCTGCATTTCTAAAGACCTAAAAAAAGGGAAAACAAGTCTAAAAAAAAGAAAAAATCAACAAAACCAACCAACCAAAACCAACCAACCAAAACCAACTCACCCCCCAAAAACCCTAAAGTAGAGTTGATTCCACAAAATAACACTAATTAATTTACTGGGGAAAACCCTCCATCATTCTAATAACACAACAATATCAAATGAAGCAATATCCAAAGAAGACACCATCAAGAATATTCAATTGGTTATCACACAGTGCAGCAAAGAGGTCCCACGTTCACAAGTCTCCCGGCTTTGAAGTCCTGCCTTCCTGGCAGAAGGCTAAAAACACAGCCAGAACACACATTCACTTAGGGCAGAAATGAGAGGGGCAGTACTGGAGCAGTGACATAGCACTAGAAATGAGGTTCCCAGAGATCTAGATATCTCCCTGGAATTTAATGATTGCAAAGACATAAAAATGGCACTTAAGAGGGAGAAGGGTGGGAGGATAATTTCCAAGTTGTCCTCACTGTTGGGTTGTACATCACTATGTTCTCACAGAAAAACCATACTAAAAAGAATCAACAAATGAGGCACTAAAGAGCTGTTGGTCCAGCACTGCTTCTACCTGCTCGAATTTTTGCACCACACTCTTCATCAACTGATAGCATTAACAGGCTGTTAAAGGACCTGTAGCAAACTCACACAGCTGTGGGTCAGGAAAGACAGAGGGCAGGGAAACAGCATAACACCCTGAACATTTCAGAGCTCAGCTACCTGAAATCTTGACCTTCTTATTCGCTTGCCTCGGTTCTGACTGCATTTGATATTTAGCTCTCTGCAGGATTAGTCTGTGAAAGATGGAAAAGAATACATCTTGAATAAAATGCTACTTCATGTGACTTTCAAGCATTAAATGAAAGAAATCCTGCCACGTTCTCCCAGAGATTTCAGTTCCTGCAGCTATTTCTCTTCTGACTTGTCAGTACTGTCATATAAATGAGTCAATAATGCAGTCAGTTACAATTAACAGGAACAGCGTGACAATCCTTCAAATGCTTAAACTCTTTCTGGTTTTTCAGGTGATAAGGAACTTACATGGTGATCAGGATAACGAAAGAAGAACTTTTTACTGCTTCATGTCCCTAACACGCTTAAATCTACAGATGGTTTTTGTCCCTAAGGGCTGCTGCTTAGTATCAGTGAAATGCTGCACTGTCAAATTTACCATTAGAGAGGAAGGAAACCTACTTGAGGAGCACTGCAAGTGTGGCTTTGCTGCCTGCAGACAGACCCCAAAAGGGTTACAAGAATGCACCTGCTAGGGAAAACACATGAGAAGAGAAATAAGAACATTTTTCACCTTCCTACTATCATTCCTTATATTTATATGTAATCATTTACGTACAGCCTTTCTTCTGCCAAGTACAAACTGTTCATGGGCTCTGACACCTTGATTATGGCAGCACCTGCTTGCTCATCTTCCATATACAGAAGAGTTTGTCAGTATTGCTAATATAAACTCTGTTTATTCAGTAGCTGACAAGTGAGCTGTAAAAATTTGCAGCTGGCAGTTATTTGTCAAAGAAGGACTCAATCTGGGAGGGATTTTGCTTTTTATTAGTATTTTATTAAATTTGGTTTAATTCTCTCTGATTGGTTTCAAGTTCTAGGAGTGAGAAATGAACATTTACAGACAATTAGGTCCCAAGCCAGCAGAAAAATTGCCTTGACGGCTGCTGGCCCATAGAAGCTCCACAGCTGCAGAGACTATTCCTTATGCTACAAACAGGAGAAGAAGGACGTGCCTCCCCTTCTCCAACAGCTGCTAACTTCAGTGTTAAGTATCCCCTTGTTGCTGCCTTCCTAGGAGCAGAGTGGCACAGCTCCAGCACCAGGAGCGAGCTAGGGAATGACGTGGCAGCCTCCCTTTTCCCCAGTTATTTTAGGAATGTTTTCGTATGACTAAACATCAATAAGGGATGAAGTTTTAAGAAAGCAGCAACAATGCAAAAAATCCTTCTACTACACCACAGACTGGTGAAATGAGGAGGACGTTATCCTTAATTTCAAAAATAAAAAAAGACAGATTTCTTTAAAAAGGAGGGCACAGATGGAGCAGGCTGAAATCTACCACCCGTTACTCAGCCCGAGGGCTGTTCCAGCTCCTGTAGGTTAAGGAATGCAATTCCAGTAACAGAGAGCCAAGCAGGTGGACAGAGCATCACTGGTTCTCCTCTCGCTGTTCTCCTTGCCTTGGAACAGCCTTGCTGCTTCCCACAGAAAGACTTGTGGCTTCTCTGACAATGTTTCCTTCAGAGCTTCGTGAAATTGGGTTCTCGGTATCTGGTGAAGTAAGTCCTTGTATTTTCATAAGGTGAGCTGGGAGAGGGAAGGAAAAATTTCGTACAGCTGAGAAGATATAAAGGTTTGCAATGAGAGAAATTTATACATACAGGGACAGTTTTTGGAAACTTCCTATAAGGAAATAGTGATTTTATCCTAAGGATGTCCCTACAGTCACTACTGTGCTGGTTTCGGGCAGAAGGAGCTACTTTTCTCCACAGCTGGGCCATCCGGCTGGCCCAGGGCGACCGAGGGAGTGTTTCATTCCATGTTATGTCAGGGTCAGTGCACACGTGCAGTTCTGAGGCAGGAAGTGGCCGGGGGGGGTCCACTGGTCATGGTCGTGTTGTCGCCCTGGGGCTCTAGGGCTCTGACTCTCACTACTCAGGACCTGACTGTGTGTCGGTTGGCGGGTGGTGAGCTACTGTAGCATATGTTCTATTATTTTAATTACTTATTAGTAGAAGTATTGTTAATATTAGTAGTATCATTCTAATTTTCATCTATATTCAATTATTAAATAGTCTTTATCTCAACTTTACAAGCTTCCTTGTCTTTTCCTCCAACTCTCCTCCCGCACTGGGGGAGGGGGGAGGTGAGCAAGCGGCTGTGTGGTACGTTACTTCTAGCAGAGGTTAAATCATGACAACTATATAGAAAGAGAATGCAGTCTGAGAAACAAACAAAACCTTGCAGCCTAAGATGCTTCTCAATTTCTCACTCCAAATTTTTCATCCTTGGAAGACACTTCTAACCAATACAGTCCAGCATTAGGACCAGACATTACAGAAGCCTGGTGGTAACATGAGAAATCGTTATCACTGGTCTCTTTGCTACATTAATGTTACATCAACCTATGTAGAAATTTCAAATCATTACCAAAACCCAATATGATTAAACCTCGCCACTAATTATTTCCTCTAGGTAATATACATTTTTGGTATACTGTAGCCAAAACTAACAGAAAAACACGTTTATTAGACCCATATTAACAGTTGGATATAAAAAAATCAACCCTACTGCACACTGTTTCACCGATCATATTTACAGCAGCAGAGACTGCAAAAGGATTACAGAGAGAAGTCTGAGGGCCTGGATTTCATACCTCAAGCCCAACT